GGCCGGCTCAGCAGTCCCCACAATGGGTTTGATGACGTACCCAGTGGTACTGCCGGCCGGCAGGTTAACTATTTAACCGCTAGTTTGGCAGGGGGCCGTAACAGATGTGAAGAAGGAAATAATGCAGAAGTATGAGATTGGAGTGAGACTTGTTGAGCTTGCCAGGATGTACAGACAACTGTGGACAGTTATTTTGTGAGACAGAAACAGATGACTGTGGAGTTATTTTGTGAGACAAACAGATGATTGTGGACAGTTATTTTGTGAGACAAACAGACGACTGTGGAGTTATATTGTGAGACAAACAGACGATTGTGGACAGTTATTTTGTGTGACAGAAACAGACGACTGTGGACAGTTATTTTGTGAGGACAGGGGGAAACAGACGTGTGGACGTTATTTTGTGAGACAAACAGACGATTGTGGACAGTTATTTTGTGAGACAGAAACAGACGACTGTGGACAGTTATTTTGTGAGACAGAAACAGACGACTGTGGACAGTTATTTTGTGAGACAGAAACAGACGACTGTGGAGTTATTTTGTGAGACAAACAGACGATTGTGAACAGTTATTTTGTGAGACAGAAACAGACGACTGTGGAGTTATTTTGTGAGACAGAAACAGACGACTGTGGAGTTATTTTGTGAGACAGAAACAGACGACTGTGGAGTTACTTTGTGAGACAAACAGACGATTGTGGACAGTTATTTTGTGAGACAGAAACAGACGACTGTGGATAGTTATTTTGTGAGACAGAAACAGATGACTGTAGACAGTTATTTTGTGAGACTGTGGTCCAATGACTCTCGAGCTGGTCCTAGTGGCATTACAATACAGAGAAGGGAAGCAACCCCAGAGAGGGCTTTGATACCGGAAGTCCTCATGGAGGGGGATTCTCCTTCCAAACACTAACCCCAACTCCCTCTCTCCTCCTCCCTATCTTCCAGATGCCATCACCAATCTTCAATAAAGGTAAGTAAAAATGTTATTTTATATTACTATACATAATTAAAGACTATAGCATTTGTTGTGTGTATGTAAAACTATAATTAATCTCTATAAAATGTATTTTTTTGTGAATATTTTTGGGTTTCTGGAACGGATTAATTGTATTTCCATTATTTCTTATGGGAAATATTGCTTCGAATTTCAGACTTTTCGAATTTAGAACTAGCTCCTGGAACGGATTAAGTTCGATTTTTGAGGTTCCACTGTATATACTTCTAAACTGTTGTATTCTGGGTACCTCTGCAAAAACAGTGATTGTGTGAGAGTGAGGTGAAAGTGTTAAATGATGATGAAAGTTTTTTTCTTTTTTGGGGGATTTTCTTTCTCTTTGGGTCACCCTGCCTCGGTGGGAGACGGCCGACTTGTTGAAAAAAAAAAAATCAGGGAAACCGGCAGGCCGGACTTGAGTCCTGGAGATGGGAAGTACAGTGTCCACAATCTGATGGAGGAGTGTTAATGTTGCAGTTTTATAACTGTAGTGTAAAGCACCCCTCTGGCAAGACAGTGATGGAGTGAATGATGATGAAAGTTTTTCTTTTTCGGGCTACCCTGCCTTGGTGGGAATCGGCTGATATGCTAATAAAAAAAAATAAAAAGTAGAAGATTAACTGTTATGCAGGCTACTGCATTATTGCAATAATTGTATAAATAATGTCAGCACATTTGTGAATGCGCATTAGACTGGCTAATTGTACATGGGTTAGAAGAGTAACATGATTAGTGTCCTCTGTAATATTGGCAAAAAAATTAACGTTTCCACTACTTTCAGCTCATTTTCAAGCTACTTCGTCTTGAAACCATTCAATTTTTTTTTTCAACAAATCGGCTGTCTCCCACTGAGGCAGGGTGACCCAAAAAGAAAGAAAATCCACCAAAAAGAAAATACTTTCATCGTCATTCAACACTTTCACCTCACTCACACATAATCACTGTTTTTGCAGAGGTGCCCAGAATGCAACAGTTTAGAAGTTTTTTTTTTTTTTTTATTATCACACTGGCCGATTCCCACCAAGGCAGGGTGGCCCGAAAAAGAAAAACTTTCACCATCATTCACTCCATCACTGTCTTGCCAGAAGGGTGCTTTACACTACAGTTTTTAAACTGCAACATTAACACCCCTCCTTCAGAGTGCAGGCACTGTACTTCCCATCTCCAGGACTCAAGTCCGGCCTGCCGGTTTCCCTGAATCCCTTCATAAATGTTACTTTGCTCACACTCCAACAGCACGTCAAGTATTAAAAACCATTTGTCTCCATTCACTCCTATCAAACACGCTCATGCATGCCTGCTGGAAGTCCAAGCCCCTCGCACACAAAACCTCCTTTACCCCCTCCCTCCAACCTTTCCTAGGCCGACCCCTACCCCGCCTTCCTTCCACTACAGACTGATACACTCTTGAAGTCATTCTGTTTCGCTCCATTCTCTCTACATGTCCGAACCACCTCAACAACCCTTCCTCAGCCCTCTGGACAACAGTTTTGGTAATCCCGCACCTCCTCCTAACTTCCAAACTACGAATTCTCTGCATTATATTCACACCACACATTGCCCTCAGACATGACATCTCCACTGCCTCCAGCCTTCTCCTCGCTGCAACATTCATCACCCACGCTTCACACCCATATAAGAGCGTTGGTAAAACTATACTCTCATACATTCCCCTCTTTGCCTCCAAGGACAAAGTTCTTTGTCTCCACAGACTCCTAAGTGCACCACTCACTCTTTTTCCCTCATCAATTCTATGATTCACCTCATCTTTCATAGACCCATCCGCTGACACGTCCACTCCCAAATATCTGAATACATTCACCTCCTCCATACTCTCTCCCTCCAATCTGATATTCAATCTTTCATCACCTAATCTTTTTGTTATCCTCATAACCTTACTCTTTCCTGTATTCACCTTTAATTTTCTTCTTTTGCACACCCTACCAAATTCATCCACCAATCTCTGCAACTTCTCTTCAGAATCTCCCAAGAGCACAGTGTCATCAGCAAAGAGCAGCTGTGACAACTCCCACTTTGTGTGTGATTCTTTAGAAGTATATATGTATAATAATACGCAATATATCCCTCCAAACTGCCAATATCCAAACCCCTCCTTTAGAGTGCAGGCATTGTACTTCCCATTTCCAGGACTCAAGTCCGGTTAATAAAATAACCGGTTTCCCTGAATCCCTTCACTAAATCTTACCCTGCTCACACTCCAACAGCTCGTCAGGTCCCAAATACCATTCGTCTCCATTCACTCCTATCTAGCATGCTCATGCACGCTTGCTGGAAGTCCAAACCCCTCGCCCACAACACCACCTTTACCCCCTCCCTCCAACCTTTTCGAGGACGACCCCTACCCCGCCTTCCTTTCCCTACAGATTTATACGCTCTCCATGTCATTCTACTTTGATCCATTCTCTCTAAATGACCAAACCACCTCAACAAACCCTCTTCAGCCCTCTGACTAATACTTTTATTAACACCTTCTCCTAATTTCCACACTCCGAATTTTCTGCATAATATTTACACCACACATTGCCCTTAGACAGGACGTCTCCACTGCCTCCTCGCTGCAGCATTTACAACCCAAGCTTCACACCCATATAAGAGTGTTGGTACTACTATACTTTCATACATTCCCTTCTTTGCCTCCATAGGTAACATTTTTTGCCTCCACATACACCTCAATGCACCACTCACCTTTTTTCCTTCATCAATTCTGTGATTAACCTCGTCCTTCATAAATCCATCCGCTGACACGTCAACTCCCAAATATCTGAAAACATTCACTTCTTCTATACTCCTCCTCCCCAATTTGATATCCAATTTTTCTTTATCTAAATCATTTGATACTCTCGTCACCTTACTCTTTTCTATGTTCACTTTCAACTTTCTATTTTGGCTACTAATGGAGGTTTTTGTGCTATAATATTAAGTGATAATCACATTCTCAGACAATAGTTAAACATTACATGATGACCTATCTCCAAGGTACAACACCCATCATGCTTTGCGTTGGATGCACACTGGCCGCATGGACCCATTCTCTCATATCTAGACCAAAATTTACCATTCACAGCTTATCAGAGTGAACTGAGCTCATGCCATAATTCTGCAGCATGAAATCTGAAAGGGTTAAGATAATGGGCTTGTGAGTCTAGGTCTGCCAGCTCTTGGGTTCAAATCTCAGTCACTGTTGATTTTTTTTTTTTTTTACAAGTCGGCCGTCTTCCACAGAGGTAGGGTGACCCAAACAGAAAGAAAAAAATCCCCAAAAAGAAAATACTTTCATCATCATTCAACACTTTCACCTCACTCACACATTATCACTGTTTTTGCAGAGGCACTCAGAACACAACAGTTTAGAAGCATATATGTATAAAGATACACAACATACCCCTCCAAACTGCCAATATCCCGAACCTCTCCTTTAGAGTGCAGGCATTGTACTTCCCATTTCCAGGACTCAAGTCCGGCTATATAAAAATAACCGGTTTCCCTTCACTAAATATTACCCTGCTCACACTCCAACAGATCGTCAGGTCCCAAATACCATTTGTCTCCATTCACTCCTATCGAACATGCTCACGCACGCCTGCTGGAAGTCCAAGCCCTCGCCCACAAAACCTCCCTTACCCCTTCCTTCCAACCTTTTCAAGGACGACCCCTACCCCGCCTTCCTTCCCCTACAGATTTAAACGCTCTCCGTGTCATTCTACTTTGATCCATTCTCTCTGAATGACCAAACCACCTCAACAACCCCTCTTTAGCCCTCTGACTAATACTTTTATTAACTCCACACCTTCTCCTATTGATATGTTTCAGTATTTATTTATTTTTTTTTAATTTTCAGCATATATTAAATTATACATAGGAACTGTTGAAAGTTCAATGGAGATTTTGTATAATAATTATTTCTTAAAAATTTATGCTTTGGCATTCAAAGCCTAATATACACGTACACTTCTAATTATTTTCATTTCTCTGTTATAACAGGGATTACTATCGATGGCGACTGCAAAGAGGAGATGCTTGCACACAGAAGGCAGTTGATGGAAGATTTCAAATTATCCCCGGACTTGATGGTGTCTTGTAAGAATGATATTGATGAATTTTGCAATGGTGGAATTGAAACTGGTGGACGCACTCTGCACTGTCTGATGAAACGTATTCGTAACCACAACCCTCGTAAGCGTGTCTCAGAACAATGTAGAAAGGAGGTAAGAACCAACACTCCTAATTTATCTTGTAATCTGTTGGATTTGAGTCAGTTAATTTCAATCATAAGAAAGAGGAACTTTGTCTAGATTATTAACTGTGGTAAACAAAGAATGTTAAGTGTATTAAAGAAGTTTACATTAACTACATGTTGCATTTGTAAACAAGAAATGGGAGCACAGATATATTCATGCACCTCTTAAGGGAAGTTCCATGATGCTGGTAGGGAGGTCTCTTGTTCCAATGAATTATACCTGATCTTCCCTTCCTTGAAGCAGACCTGATTACCTTCCATTCACCCAGGTGCTGTGTGACCTCTTTGGATTTAGTGTTCTCCATGAATGTAATATAATATGCTGATGCAAAGCTATCTTTTCCTTGATTACAAGGTATAGTTTGTTGTAATTTTTGCATGCACTTGTAAAATTATTTTAAAATTATTAAAATAGAGGTTTAAATTTATTGACTATTCATTTTGCCATTCTTAGGTGTTGGCTGATCTTCATTATTATTTTTATTATCTTGTAAATGAAATTTCTTTTCCAACCTTATTTTTTTCTAGTTATTTAGGACTAATTTTTTGTTGACATACCTGTTGTTCCCCACTGAGGCAGGGTGGCCTAAAAAGAAAATGAATTTTTTTTCTTTTTTACATTTAGTAATTTATACAGGAGGAGGAGTTACTAGCCTCATGCACCTGGCATTTTAGTTGTGTCTTGTGACATTCACGGCTTATAGAGGAAGAATTCTTTTCTACTTCCCCATGGAGTTGAAAGAAAATAAAAAAAAACAAGAACCATTAAGAAAATAGGAAACTCAGATGGGTGTGTATATATATATGCAGACATACATGTGTAGTGTTCCCTCAGTGTAAGTAGAAGTAGCAAGACATACCTGTTATCTTGCATATTTGAGACAGAATAAAAGGGCATCAACAATCCTGCCATTGTGTAAAACAATTACAGGTTTCCACTTCACACACATTTAGCAGAACAGTAGTACTTCCCTGGGTGGTTGCTGTCTACCAGCCTATACTACCTAATCTAGGAATATTTTTTTTTTTTTTATGTCGGCTGATTCCCACCAAGGCAGGGTGACCCAAAATGAAAGAAAAACCCAAAAAGAAAGAAAAAACTTTCATTGTTCAACACTTTCACCATCACTCATACATAATCACAGTCTTTGCAGAGGCCCTCAGATACGACACTTTAGATGCCCCTCCAAACTGCCAATATCCCAAACCCCTCCTTTAACATTTTCACTGTCGAGACCTCTGCTCACAAGCTTGCTCTCCCTGTTGAAGAATTTAAAAAAAAAAAAATTTCTTATGAAAAGATAGAGAATGTTTTCCTGATGGTAATGACACCAAAAGTTTGAAATTTGATAGAACGCTTACAGAATTAAACTCATGAATTTAGTGGTCTCGGCGATATATATGCATTGGCGATTTCGGCCAATTCCATTGCTCCGGTCGACCAAACTCATAGCTATTTTGCTAGAACTCCATTTGTTCTGTTGATTGAGTACAAGAAACTGCCCATTTATCGATTTCACCTACCCAATAAAGTGGTCAGAAATTTGCAATTTTGCCAGTTTCACACAAATTTCAAAAGATGCCAATTTCAAAATAGGGTCCAGAATAAACAGTGCAGACATTCCTGGCACTAAAATAACATTTTCACTGTTCATTAGTCACGTCTCCAGGCCCCTTTTATGTTACTCTTGCTTTCCATTTTGAATTTTTATTCACACAAAAAATAGAAGATTTACTGTTATGCAGACTACTGCAGTATTATAATAATTGTATAAATAATGTCAACCCATACGTGACTGCGTATTAGACTGGCCAGTTGGACACACATTAAACAGTGATGTTCACTCTCGAACATAGGAAAAAATCGAACATTTCCGCTACTTTGAGCTCAATTTCAAGGTACTTTTCATCGTGAAACCAATCAAAATCATCTCTCTTTCTGTAATGTACCTTCTGTTCTATCAAATGAGACCAAGAAAACGAGAATACAGTCATAAATACCATACAAAAATGTACCTCAGAGTCGGTGTTTTAAACCAAAAACACGGTCGTTTTTTTTTTCTCATTATGCACTGCATACTGCAAGATTTTTTTTATACTGCGCCCACTGACCACACAGACCCATTCTCTCGCATGTAGGTCTACCAGCTTTCTCCCGCTAGATTTGAAGCCGCTAGAATTTTTGTGAAATACTATGGCACCAACACTGGCTTCCAAGCCGTTGTATTACGGCACCAACAGTGAAAGGGTTGAAGCGCAGGCATTGTACTTCCTATTTCCTGGACTCAAGTCTAGCTAACCGGATTCGCTGATTCCCTTCACAAAATACTACCCTGCTCACACTCCAACAACTTGTCAGGTCCCAAAAACCATTCGTCTTCATTTGCTCCTATCTAACATGCTCACGCATGCTTGCTGAAGTCCAAGCCCCTCATCCCCAAAACCTCCCTTACCACCTTCCTCCAACCTTTTTGAGGATGGCCTCTACCTCGCTGCAGCATTGACAACCCAAGCTTCACACCCATATAAGAGTGTTGGTACCACTGTACTTTCATACATTACCTTCTTTGCCTCCATAGATAATGTTTTTTGTCTTCACAGATACCCCAATGCGCTACTCACCTTTTTTTCCTTCATCAGTTCTATGGTTAACCTCACCCTTCATAAACCTATCCACTGACAAGTCAACTCCCAGATATCTGAAAACATACACTTCTTCCATACTCCCTCTCTCCAATGTGATATCCAATTTTTCTTTATCTAAATTGTTTGATACCCTTATCACCTTACTCTTATCTATGTTCACTTTCAACTTTCTTCCTTTACACACACTCCCAAACTCATCCACTAACCTTTGCAACTTTTCTTTAGAATCTCCCATAAGCACAGTATCATCAGCAAAAAGTAACTATGTCAACTCCCATTTTGTACTTGATTCCCCATAATTTAATCCCACCCTCTCCCCAACACCTTAGCATTTACTTCTTTTACAACCCCAGCTATAAATACAGTGGTCTCCTGTTTTTCGTAAGCATCAAGAGTCATAATTTTCAAAAATCGTAACTTTTTTCATCAAAACATTGACTCGCAAATAGTCGTTTGTCCCGGACGCGTATGCACGGCCCCAAGCAGCCTCACATTCCATTCCCAGCCAGTGTGCCATTGTTTATCAGCGAGTGACCATCACCTCACATGTTCATACAATGCATTTCATAATATTCCATTCATTTTAGTGCTTGCAACTGCTAAATAAGCCACACTGGCTCCAAAGAAAGCTCCTAGTGCCAAGTGCCTTTGGTAAAGAAGGTGAGAAATACGATAGAATTAAAAGAAAAACATCATTAACAATATGAAAGTGGCGTACAATGGCAGAGCTGGCAAGGAAATGTATAAGGCACCCATGCAACCATTGCTTCCATTATGGGGAAGAAAAAGGAATCATGAACTCCGGGACGATTTGAACAAATTAATGTCTTGTCTGAAAAGGGCAGATAAAGTTTAATGTGGATAAGGTAAGGTACTTGCCCTTGGTAATGAAAATAACCCTCGAAGCTATAATCTAGGTGAAGTTGAGCTTGTCATACAGAATGTGAAAAAGACTTGGGAGTCATGGTAAGCAGAAATCTAAAGCCAAGACGCAGTGCCTTAGTGGCAAAATCAAGGCCAACAGATTACTTGGATTTATCTCAAGAAGTATAAGTAACAGAAGTCCAAAAGTTATTTTACAGCTCTATACTTCACTAGTGAGGCCTCATTTAGATAATGCTGCTCAGTTTTGGTCCCTTACTACAGGATGGACATAGACTCATTAGAGAACATACAGAGAAGAATGACTAAAATGATTTACTGTGTAAGGAACCTCCCGTATGAAGATAGACTAAATCCTTAAATCTCCACTCTCTGGAAAAGGCGTAGAATGAGGGGAGATATCATTGAAGTGTATAAGTGGATGACGGGCATAAACAAGGGAGACATTAATAAAGTACTGAGGGTGTCGAACCGGGTAAGAACCAGGAATAATGGATTTAAGTTGGATAAATTTAGATTTAGAAAGGACATAGGTAAGTACTGGTTTTCTAACAGAGTTGTAGATTCGTGGAACAGTCTTCCCAGTGGGGTGATAGAGGCTAGGACCTTGGGTAGCTTTAAGAAGAGACTGGACAAATATATGAGTGGGAGGGGCTGGGTTTGATTGGTGTCAAGGGGTACGGGAGTTATTTCTTGAGTAGCTTTAGGTAGATGTCGTTTTGATAAGGACCTGCCTCGTATGGGCCAGTAGGCCTTCTGCAGTGTTCCTACATTCTTATGTTCTTATGTTCTAATGAAGCTGCCGTTGCAAAGGGGGTAAATACTGTATGCTCACAAAAATGAGATCGCAAGTACTCGAAGATGTTGAGAAGTTATTGTTGATGTGGATCACCAAGAAACAATTAGCAAGAGACAGTCTTAAGCAGTTGATTATTTTTGAAAAGGCAAGGCAGTTGCATGACGATCCCGTAAAGAAATTGCCTTCAACGAGTACAGTGGACCCCCGGTTATAAACCTACTCGGTTATCAGCGGGTTTTTCAGTACCTGGTTATCGGCTGTTTTGGACACATCCGGCTGGGGCAGCTTGTGCTTCAGTTTGGCTTTGTCTCTCAGTGGCTGAGGTAGCTTCTGCTCATACATCAAAACCTTTTGCTTGTTTACCATTGTTTGTAGTGGTTTTTCTTGCAGTGCAACTGTGAAATAAGTAAAGATGGCTCCAAAGAAAGTTCCTGTGGTAAAGAAAGTGAGAAACACCATGGAATTTAAGCGTGAAGTGATAGAAAAGTTTGAGAGTGGTATGAAGGTGATGGAACTTGCCAGGATGTACAGCAAGAATAAATAAACAATTACATCCATCCTGGCAAAGAAAGAACAAATCAAAGACACTAATGTTGCAAAAGGAGTAGCTTTTCTAACTAAACAAAGGACACCAATAATGG